TTTGCTGTGTAATGCTATGGTTCCCATTCTGTAAAATGTTATTTTTGATGTTCTAAATAAAGCAGTGCCCAGCCGGGCGTGGCTCAGAGGTTGAGCATCAACCTAGGATCCAGGCGATCAGGGTTCGATTCCCGGTCAGAGCACATGCCCCGGTTGCGGGCTCAATCCCCAGTCGGGGCGTGCGGAAGGCAGCCGATCAACGACTCTCTCATCATTGATGTTTCCATCTCTCTCTCTCTCTCCTTTCCTCTCTCTGAAATCAATAAAGATATATTTAAAATAAATAAATAAATAATAAATAAATAAATAAATAAAGCAGAGTTGCCCCCCAAAACAACATTGTTTCCTTTCAGAATACATTATTTTAACATGGTTTAGCTTTTGAGATCAACTCAAGCAAAATTAAATAATTTTCATTTGATTGAGAAAAATATTCACTTTTTCATTATCAAATGCAATGTGCCATTTACATGTTGATTTTTCATATTCATTTAAATATATAGGGAAATACTACCTATCTACTTTGGTTGAGCTTCATACTCATAGATAAGCAAAAGAACACTATTCTACCACCAAAACTTATTTTACACATTTTATCTTTAAGGAAAGGTAGAGATTGTATGAAAACTTTCTTCTATGAAGATTTCCTATTGGTTTAGAAAAGAACTGATGCATTCTGAATTTTTAAAAGTATAGTTTTGCCCCAGCCGATTTGGCTCAGTGGTTAGAGCGTCAGCCCACGGACTGAAGGGTCCTGTGTTTGATTCTGGCCAACGGCGGGTACCTGGGTTGCAGGCTCGATCCCTGGCCCTGGTCAGGGTGGGTGTAGGAGGCAACAAATGAATGTCTCTCTCACATCCATGTTTCCCTCTCTCGCTCTCTCTCACTCTCTCTCCCCCTCCCACTCTCCCAGAAAAGCAATGGAAAAAATGTCCTCAGATGAACATTTTTTTAAAAAAGTATAATTTTCAAAAATGTGAAATGTATGAATCTCATACAAATATATAATCGGCAGGTATCAAAGATTGGCTTAATTTATTAATGAGGGATCCAGCAGAAGTATAAAGCTGGTCCAAAAGAAGATAGGAAAGACTACTATATATATTTAGTAAATTAAATAAAGAATGCTGAAATAAAATTAAGTTAGACATAAAATTGGTGATGTCCCATAGGGCAATAAAAACCAAAGCCTTTTTTAGTTATCTTTCTACTAGACAAAAATCATTTGTATTGCTCCTGAAAAAAAATACTGTAATTTATTTGCTACTCACTCTTCTGTGTGTGTGTGTTTTTGTTGCTATTAATCCTATTTTTTTCCACTGATTTTTTTTTAGAGAGAATGGAACGGAGGGGGAGAGACAGAGAGAGAGAAACATAGATGTGAGAGAAACACTTTGATTGAGATTGGTTGCTTCCAGCACGTGCCCCAACAGGGGCTGGAGATCAAGCCTGCAACTGAGGTACTTGCCCTTGACAGGAATCAAACCCTCGACCCTTCAGTCTGAGGGCCAACGCTCTAACCACTGAGCAAAACTGGCCAGGACATTTTTCCCAATTTAACATCTAATTTTTCAGAGAGTATGGGCCTAGCTAATAGTAAAAAGTAAGTTTAAAAAACTACCTTCTTCCAGAGAAGTGAATGATCTTTGGGAGGAACTATTATGAAATGCTCCACTATATCATTGAAAAGACATGCAGTCGTTAGTTTGCCATATTTTTAAGTTGAAATAATTTTTTCTACTACTCTGTTCCCTATCTTCCCTGTTAAAAAAACATAGTACTTTGTCTAATACTTTGTGTCAACACTTGTATGCAATGTTTTATTTAGTTCTCAAATGAATATCAATAAACACAAGTCTTTAGTGAAACTCTGATTATTTCTTTGGAAAAAAAGTCTAATGAGAATAAACTTGTATAAAAGAATTTAAATATTTTGGAGGTTATTGATGTATATAACCAAATACATATATGTGTCAATCTGTACTAATCATGTAGAGTAGTACACTCTGACCACCATATTGACAGAGTTGAGCTTCATCATTTTAAAAATCAGTCAATTTGGTAGATACAAAATGAAATCTCATTTCAATTTACCTATATGATATCTGGTTACTAGTAAAGTTGATTTTTTAAAAAAACATGGTTTTGTTATTTTCTTTTAAAATTATTATTTGCTTATTTTTCTATTTGGATATTAGTGCCCATGTTGTGACTTCTTTTAGCTTTTAATACCTGAGGGACATTAACCTTGTGTTTTAATTCTTACACATCAAAGAGCTTGTCATGAACAGTATTAATAGAATATTTTATGTGAGGAAGAAGAACATCATAAATGAGACTCATTTGTGCTCACTTGAAACTCAACATAAGATTATACTAATAAAGATGTTATGTTGTTTCCTCTTGTTCCATTAAAACTCTTTCATTGAAAAATGTTTTATATGAAAGCTACATATACAAATAATCTTATAAGGGTGGGGAACCGAAACTACAGGAAACAGGACATTTGTAAATGCAAAATTCTTTAAAAATTGACTGCAAGCATTATATTAATAAGTAAACAGTATAGCTTTATGGGATTGTGTTTAGAACAACTTAGAATAACTGGGTGATCTTCCATAATGGTTTAAATCATTTTTTGTGATGTGCTTGTAAAAAAAGAAATCAAGAACTGAAATTGATGTATACTCAAGGTTATGTTATTTATGTTGCATGCAAAGTGTGTATGTGATTATACACACACACACAAACACACATATATGTATGTATATATATATATATATAGAGAGAGAGAGAGAGAGAGAGAGAGAGAGAGAGTAGGAACCTCTCTGGTTCCTATGCCAATACTGTGATATGAGCCCTCTGGTCTTTCAACAAATATATATGTAAACATAAGCATGTAAAACAAAATATGTCATTACAAGTTTTGGTGTTTTAAAGGTTTTCTTTGGTACTATTATCATAGATCATTTAAAAGATGGGCGTATTGTCCTGGCCCTGGTGGCCCGGAGTTAGAGCATTGGCCCCTGCAGAAGGGGAGTGGGTTCAGTTCCCTGTCAAGGGAGCGTACCTGGGTTACAGGCTAGATCCTTCCCTGGTCAGGCCCCCTGTGGGAGGCAACCAATAGATGTGTCTCTCTCACATGTTGTCTCTGTCTCCCTCCCACTTTCCCTCACCACCCCCTCCCTCCCTTCCACTCCCTAAAAATAAATCAATGGAAAAAAATATCCTTAGATGAGAATTAACAACAACAAAAAAGATGGGTCTGTTTCTGTAAACTGCCCTACCTTCTGGGACTGGGAGAAAGGTAATTGAATTAAAGCACTGGCTATTGTTATGTTTTCTAATTTGTAACAATTGGGGATATATATATATATACATATATATATATTCACAGACATATGTGGTTTACATACAATAAGTACAATTACAAATAATAAATAGCACATTTTAAATATTATATAATTTCTATAATATTAAATATTATATAAATTACATATATGTATATATATAGAAATATACAATATAGAGGACTGGAGAATTATGATAGTAGATATTGGGAAGAAATTTTTTTTGAACTGTAGAATCCTGAATAAATCAGTGCATATAAAAGAATAGTAACTTTTGAGATCACTTTCTTTTGTTTTATTTGATGTTGGGGATGGGTGTAGAGCTCCCACAGAAAGTGTGAACCCTCAAGTTCTCTCCAAGGCCCAGAGACCGGGTAGCCTGAAGCGTGACTCAGAGGGAGCCCCCGCAGCCTTGGGCTTCTTTTCCCTGCCTCCCTTGGCCCCAAACCCCTGGTGAGAGGCATC